TCTTTTGCGTGCTGGCGTGGAGCTACAATTGGAATATTGTGAGTAGATGCAAGGTGACCTCCCTTGAGGTGAGGGCGAAAGCGGAGGGTGGCCGGTTCGATATGGCTAATGAGGGTTTCTCAGTAATCGCCTGTCCGCATTGTTTGAGGCCTAGTGGAATCTTAGTAGAACCGGAAGGCTTGAGGGCTCCTCCTCCTACTTTGACGGTGGGTAAGTGTTTATTGGTTTGTGTATACTCGCGGGGGATGGAGCGGTCGATTGAGAGGCTAGGGGAGGAAATGGAGTGGTATGGGTCGGAGTATGAGCGGCTCCTATTGGTGCCTCGGGGGTGCTCTGTGGAAGGATCCCTGCGCTATTGGCCTGTCCGGAAGGAGGTGAAGAGTTGGATGAGACACCCCTATAGGTATAGGGGGGAGAGGTCGAGACCGGTCGAGCCAGGCGCAGGGGATCTCACTTTGCCGGATGGGTGTGTTTCGCGGAGATGTTTCAAATCTGATCGGGATTATGGAACGGATTGTTTTACAGCTGTGGAGGCACTAGAGGTGGAAGGCTGTGACACGGTGTTTTTGATGGAGTCTTGGTGGCGATGTGAGCGACCAGTGAGGGAAATTTTGAAGGAGGTCGAGATGATACCGTCGGTGAGTGCTGATGGTGGGTTTATGGTATTTGAACCTAAGCAGTGGCAAGCGGCGTGGCTGAAGAGTATTTTGAGCGAAGCGGAGCATCCGGCCCAACAGCAGTGGAAGAGGAGGCCACTGAGGGGGCTGTTGGTGGCGTTCTGGAGGGTCGCGTATGGCAGGGTGGGAGTGGTTGGTAGGAAGAACAGAATTGAAGTGAATTAATACTAATTTTGTGGCAATGATTTTTTTATTTGTTTCATGGTAAACTGAAGTATCGAGTTGGGGTCTATGTACAGTGGTCTGCCTCTGTAGTTCCTGTGATGTCCACAGCACCACCGTCGACGGGAACAGCAGTAGTAGCATTGACGTCGACGTCGCCGAGCGCCCGTCCGACCAGTAGTGGCGCTCCTCTAGGGTCTACTGCGGAGCTGGGGCCCATTGAAAATGTGACGAGTAGTACAGGAGTGCCTCCGAAGAGCCCATCGGCTACGACATGGTTTCCCTCTGCGGTAGAGGAGGGGAATACTACGACTGCGGCAGGGACTCCTAAGTGGAGAACTATAGTAGTGCCTGTGGTCGTTAATGTAACAGTGCCAGCAGCAATTGAAACAACAGTGGGAGTAGCAACTACTACTCCTACTATGGTGGCGCCTGGCAATGCGACCACTGTAGAGGTCCCAGTGGTGGTCCCTACGGCCTCGGCGATCCCTGAGGGTAAGAGGGATGTGTACCTCGCTAATGGTTTCTTCTTCCTCGCTGTTCTCTTGGGCCTATCACTACTAGGAGGGCAGTTTCTAAAATGGGCTAGAGTCCGTTGGCTCGGCGAGTCGGGTCTTGCTACCGCCCTGGGGTTGTTGTGTGGACTGCTGCTATATAGTGTTCGAGCGGAGACTATGTTGGAGAAAGTACTCGAGCTCAACGAAGAAGTTTTCTTCTTTGTTCTGTTGCCGCCTATTATCTTCCAAGGAGGATTTTGTATTGACACCAAGACGCTGTTCAAGAATTTCGGCACCATCGTGTGGCTGGCCGTATGGGCTACACTCTGCAGTTTTATGTTCATCGCAGGGGCGGTATTTCTCGCTGGTCAACTTGAGCTCTGCTCGCCTTGGACGATACATGAGGCCATGGGTTTCGCCACGGTCATCTCCGCGACGGACCCTGTGGCGGTCCTATCGATTTTGAAGTCGCTTTCGACGGCTGGTCCGCTGCTGTCGGGGTTGATCGCAGGAGAGAGTCTGCTGAATGACGCGATTTGTCTGGTACTCTATCGCTCGCTGATACATTGGGAAGATCGATCGCTGGTGCACGCCTTGCAGACGTTCGTATACGTCTTCTTCTGCTCGTGCTTGCTGGGGACGGCATTTGCATTTGCCTCGTCGTTGGTGTATAAGTATTTCCCGAGAGAAAATGGAGGCTATGAATTGACTACTAGAGTGGTATCTTCTGGAGAGGTTGACCGTGGAAGATACGAAATAGGTCCGGAAGTGGACGCGGCTGGTTATGGCTATAGTGTGGTATTGGAAGTTAGTGTACTTGTACTGTTTGTGTGGATGAGCTACCTCCTAGCTGAAGGGCTTCAACTCTCTGGGATATGTGCGATCCTTTTCTGCGGAATATTCATGAGGAAATATACGTGGTAAGTTTGGGGTGGGCGGTGTGGGAAAAAATATGCACATGGTCAACTGCATGTGTCGGTGAACGGATTTGAATTCTGAAGAAAGTTTTCGGAAATTGTTTTTGAATTCTGTACATGCCTACTCTAGTTTGTATATAATCTCCTATAGTTATGAGGAAACTCCTGAGCTTAGCTGAGGAAAGCAAGCATATATTCCAACACTGGGGCGAGGGGGCCTCGGTCGTGGAGGAATCTTAGGTCGACTTTGGCAAGATACGAATTAGGTCCATCGGAATCACCTCTTTCTTCTCGCCAGGTTGAATCTCAGTCCAGAGGCTAGGAACCTCGCGGAGTCAATCTTCGAGTTGTTCGCAGTACTTGCAGAAGCGGTCATCTTTGTTTTCCTCGGGCTGGCCCCTTTCTCTTTCGACAAGTCTCTGTCACGCACATCTATTCCGACGTACTTGATAGCAGCTCTGGCTACCTTCGGCGCTCGAATACTATCGGTGAACACAACGGTTTCGATGGCAAACCTCTGCCGCACTCGGAGTAAACTGCCGGCCTCATATACGTCTGTTTTGTCGTTCTGTGGTCTGCGAGGGGCGATGGCACTGGCCTTGGCAATTCGAGCGAGGCGTGATTTCCCCTTGCATGGTCATGAAATCCTCTCGGTATCGTTAGTAATAGCACTGTTTACAGTGATGGTGTTGGGCTGTTCGGCGAGCTATGTTCTAGATTGGCTGCTGGGGTCCGAGATGGCGGCTTGTGAGATAGCGTCGGAAAACAGCAGTATGACCACAGGATACTGTGGAGGCATGAAGAGGCTGGTCATGGCGTTGAATCGCGGTGTGCTGCTGCCGCTGTTTACGAGAAGTGGACAGAGTGGTATGCGGTATAGTGGCGTTGAACGGCATAGTAGTCGTAGCGATTCCGATATGGGTGGGGCCTCTCCGATGGCTTCTGAGTATGGTCGAAGGGCGCTCACCTCAGCAGAGTTGGAGGAAGGATATACGATAGAGTGATTGATACTGGTGGAAGTTGACAACAAATTAGTAACGGTTGAAGGCATATTTCATTTAGTGCATCGAAGAATGCCCTCGTTGGGAGTTTGGTAGTGATGATAGTATAGTGTATGATTTGTTATGGAGTTTTCTTAGCGGAGCGAAGTTTTTGTGTTGTGAGGATGGATGGGGTCTCTGTGTTGGTTGGAAATAACTATGCGGGAGTCGTCGCTTTGGGAAGACGACATGAGAGGTGGGCCTTGGTCATTACGAACAGGGTGAAGATAGGTGATAGGGAGTGGGTTGGTGGGTGGCGTAATTTGGCAATTTCATACCACTCCTTCGCGAACTCGTCTGTATTAAGGGAAGCCAGATGAGCCGTCCTCTTGGATGGTGTCGGTGGAGGAAGGCCTACTACCGATGGGCCTCAACACTCTAAGAGCTCTGAACACGGTAATTTACTGTGCAAACGTCTTCATCTCACTCCTCTCTGATAACAGCATGTTTAATTGGGTGAATTATCCCGTAATCGGATATATTTTCCCAGTTCCTTTGTTGAAATGGCCTCTGCTGCCCCTGAGGGTGTTTCTCTTTTTCCTCTTCCTCGCTATTATTTCTCCCTCTATCCTGTTGGGTCCATCCCATGGGCCTTATTACTCGTTCCTTATGTTACTTGGGAGGCTCAAGAGGCGCTCATCGATGAGACCATTTATGCTGACCTCACTTGCTCACCTCCTTTGAAATACTCAGTTGCTTTCGTCAAGCGACTTGTAACGGAACTGGGCCGCATCACTGACGAAGTGCACGATTTATGGTATGAATTTATAGCTCAAAATAATGCCGAGCTCAACACACCCGAAAGCGAAAGAGGTTTCATCGCTTATCGGGTTGGGGACTCGTCTATCTCCTTGGGGTACGACGTCTCTGGTCGTTTTATAGAGCAGGGGACCACAGGCCTCTCCCAGTGGGAGGCAGGCCGGTACCTCGCGAGCTGGTTAGTCGCCAACAAGTGTGCTGTTGAGGGCAAGGACGTGCTCGAGTTGGGCTCGGGTAGTGGTCTGGTAGGCCTCGTTGCTGCTGGTTTCAGTGCCGCTAGGAGGGTTGTGCTCACCGACGGAAACGCATTGGTAGTGAAGGCCTTGAGAGCCAATGTGAAGAGCAATAAACTTGATAACGTGGAAGTGGCTGAGCTGAACTGGGACGACCAGAGCCGCAGTGATTTGTTGGAGTCGGCGGAGGTCCTCCTTGGGGCTGACCTCACCTACGACCCGACTATCGTTGGAGCCCTTATGGCGACTATAAGGCGAATGCGACGAGATGCTGTGTGTTACCTCTGCAGTGCTGTGCGGACGGATTCTACATGGAGAGAATTCCTCAAATTGCTGGATGGTCTTGATGTGAAGGTGTTGGTACCTGGACCGGCCCAGTGGGAGGGGCTCGTCAGAGAGGAGTTTCTCGCGGGCCGGTGTCCACGGCCCAAAGACTTGGATATGGATATTGTATTGTTGGAGATCCGTCCGAGGGCAAGTTGTGATATAGTGACAAATGAGATTGACTTCGCCATAGGTGCTTGAATTTCGAACGTAGGAGTAGTAGTACTAGTTTCACAGAGAGCTGGCATTGAGTTGGTCGTGAGTTAATACTGAGTGTAGTCGTATTTCATACCGAGCAAATTGAAGTGAATTTCGGATGGCAAATTCGTCTACCATTACGTGGGATGACATCTCCGCGTGGGATTCAACTCGTCTGGCGGAGTTTCTCAGAGTGAGGTTTGTGGTATTGAGGGCTTCTGCTACGTTCTTGATGACAGGGTCAAGGCTTCAAGGTTGCCTCGGCCCTAGTATGGCTGGAGAACTCCTCTAGGGCCAGTGGCGAGCGCCTTGCTAACTGGGCGAAGGCTGTTGAGGGCCTTCGAGTAGCGGAGTAGGTCTGACATGATGATGATGGGGATGATCTCTGATCCGCTCAGGATGCGGAGTCTCATTGACAAGGTGTATCTAGAGGACACTGAGACGTTCCGGAGTTTTGGAATTTTCGCTGGTATGCACAGCTCGGTGCCGCTGTGGGAGTTGGAGAAGTTAAGAAATATCGGCAGTAGCAGCAACGGCGACGACAACAGCCTCTTGAGAGATGCCACACGGGAGCTGATCAGCACTCAGGAGATGGACTGTGGTGAACCTGTATCGGTTGGGGAAGTGGCTGAGTCGTCCGTGGATGAGGTGGAGGAGGTGTTGGATTGTGTCATTGAGGAGACGCAACCGCCGTATGGGTACTCCTCGGAGGTTCTGAGTGACGAGGAGGGACGAGGGTTGGGGGCTGGGCCGTGTGGGAGGGCCGAGGTGGAGGGTTATGCTCAGAGGAGGGCCTCGAAGCGGCTAAGTTTGGCAAACAACATTGAGGCGTCGAAAAGGAGAAGATCATCGGAGTCCATTACGACGGCACCGACTAGGAGAATAGCGACTGTAGTTCGGGTTGATAATGCCTCACAAAGAGGATTTCGGAAGGGCCTGTGTGATTCAGGCTAAGAGTTCCCCCGTGGCAAGGAGCCGTCTGCCTACATCTAGGAGTACTTCACCCGTGGCTCGAGTTAGTAGTGGCGGTCGGCGTTCAAGTATAAGCTCCAATAAAGTGAGCATCACCGATCTTGAATAATTCTCTTCGATCAACAATTGGAAAGGAAATTGTTTTAAGGTCCTCATGCTTTCGGGAGTTGGTGCGGCTCTCGAACGAACCGCGAACAGCCTATGCAATAGACTGGGAGGAGCCAAGATAGAGAACCTTGATCGTTGTTTGGAGAAGGGGGTCTGCCCTAAGCCGACTCATGTCGTTGTACCCAGCAAGAAGGTTGTCGTTACTCTCAAGGTGAAACCATTTTTGCTGTGGACACCTTTATGAAGTACCTCGTAGGTGCTGTATGGTCTGTGTACTCCTACATGCAGTATCATTGGGGAGGAATGGCTGATCGACTGTCGGTCGGCATCAAAGTGGTTACCAGTAGATTCGTACCTTGTTGATGAGTGGGCGGGAAGGCCAAGATGGACAGTTGGCAAGAATGGGCCGCTGGAGAAAATAAGGATACACTTTTCAGGAGAAGTAGACTACTCTCAAAGATCCCCTGAGAGTTGGTGTTACAGATGCAGTCTATTCCGGACGTTGAGCATTATCACAATCTTGTTCGGCTTTGCGGAGGAGTCGTTGATAAAGAGTCCCCGAGAGGCGCAAGGGTGGTTGTTGTTGGAAGGGGTTACAAGCTACCTGCGAGGTTGTTGTTTGACCTCAAACATGGTAGGAGAGTTTACGAATCAAGGGTGCAGTCAAAATTCTCAAGTCGGTTTAGCTTAGTGGTAGAGCGTCAGTCTTGTAAACTGAAGGTCGGCGGTTCAATCCCGCCATCCGGCTTTTATTGTCGGCGCCACCAGTGCTTCACGTGGTTCAGGCGTTGTTCCTACACCAGCTTTGGTAACAGAGGAGTGGTTAATGCAGTGCCTGAAGACACAAACTTTTATTGATGAATTCGACAAGTACCTGCCAGCAAATGTATTTGAACTAGTTCCAGAGGAATGGCATGATTGAAGTTAATACTAGTTTAACCCCATCACGCAGTCTTATTGTGTTGCTGTACTAAGGGGTCGTTCAAGAGCCAAAGCCGACACTAGTTCACAAAACTGGGCGCATTGAGATGCGATTCAAATTTCAATGGGTTCCCCTCAAGATCGACTTTGTAACCGGTTACCACTTTCAGAACTCGTCTATTGAACTGCCCGTGAGTCAATACAGCGACCTCCACTAGTTAGACTTCAGTCAGCATTATCTTACTTGCACGCTGCTCATTATGGGTTGGTGATATCGCTCCTTGTCGCCCCCTGCTCGTGTTGATAAGTAACCCCAAGTCGGCTCCCTCGAGCAAAGTTCTAGCGCGAGTTCGTTGTATTCCATCTCTTTTCGGCGCTGCAGGAGGGAAGAAAATACTACTACACCTTCTACTACAAATCCCCCGCTTTACGCCAGGCTAGGGTGATATAGGTTCAATGGAGATGTTATATTGCCGGTCCGTAATTTTATGGTTCATCGGGCGGCACAGTTCTTTTTGTTTTCCGTCTGTGATATGAAGGTGCCACGTGGGAGGGGGTCGGCTCGGGGTGTAGCATGGGACTCACAGATCTGTGTGATACGATTGCTGACGATGTGATCCGTCGTAGTCCTTATTTGTATCGAGTCCACATGACTTGTGTCAGACTGAAGGCGTTTGCCAGTTTTCGTTTGAGTACGTACCCCAAGCAAATTTCGCTCGTTGTAGACGTTCGAGTGAGCATGCCAACTATCACGAAAACCCTGACTGTGTCTAGGGCGATCAGATGAATAAAGCAAACGCCTAATGATCAGTGGTTGATTCCCATTTGAGCCCCAACATGTCGAATCGCCTTTTCCTTTCCAGTCTCAGAGGGGTAACTACTGCAATACCGCACCTCCCCCAAGCTATGATCAGGTCCGTCGTCTTGCTAATGCAAATGATGAAACACGACAGCAGGCTGGGAGGTAACCATTGCTGGTAGCGCGGACTTCAGTTGTTGCTTAGAATGCGGAGCGCTGCCGATGCTGAGACGGCTGCAGAAATAGTCATGGGAGATGCCGAGGGAGACGATCATAAGGGGTACTGCTGGTGTTGGGTCATGGCTCTGCTACTAGGAGTTTGTACATAGTATTATTTTCTTATGCTGCGAGTCTCCTCGCTGTAGTGTTTTCGGCAGGTCTACTGGTGTGGTACGTAAAGGGCGTGGCCATGGCGGTGAAAGAGCTCTCTTAGAAGGGTAGTAGTAGTAGGCGTCTGTCACTGTAGCTCGTGTGACACTATATGATTTATAGTATGAGTGAAGGGGATAATACTATAAACTATGAAGTATTATTGCTCTCGAATAGGCCCCTCTCATCCTCCTCGAATACACGGAGACGAACTGCGAAGGTTTCTGCTGATGTCGCCATGGAGGATGACGAGTTCGGGAATCACATTAGAAGGTAGTAGTAGTAGTAGTAGTAGTAGTAGGAGTAGGGGTGTGACAGGGAGGACGTTGTGAATGGTCACCTGTAAGGACTGAACAATCGTTGGCTCTGCGATATGGTTCATCTGTGAGGGGTATCTCTCATGGAACCCTTTGGGTACTTTTTTGTTAATATCAGTGGTGGCGTAGCTAGTCCGGACTCAGCCGTGAATAATTCCTACTATCCTCGAGAGAGCATTGGAGGTAAGGATGTTTGGAGGCATGATATGTAAGGCTCAATAGGCACCCCTCTGATAACGTCCTCTTCCTAAAGGTACACTGGTCCAATGTCCGCGGGATCGTGGGTGTTCGTTAGAAACTGCCCGTCCACTGTGACGCCACAGCAACTGTATCATCTATTTCAGGCTACTGTCGATAGTCCGGTCGTCTCTGTGAAGGTAGTAGTGGGGGGGGACCCTCAACACCTTGCATTTGGGTCCGCTCAGGTTCATAGAGGCTCGATACCGACGGCCCTTATCGGGTTCATCCGGCGTGATGCTGCGGAAACCGCTGAGAATAAACTGCATGGACGGCATGTGGATGGAGCAGTGTTGAAGGTGATAGGGGCAAACAACAACAGCCCCTCGGGTCCTCGGCCGTTGCCGATACTACTCGGCGGGGAGTTGGCGTTAGTTAATTTTAGATGTTTTCTCAATCGTGGGTCGACTAATGACGTCTCGGTGGTGTCTGGATAGGTATGCAAGGTTGACGAATCCGTTGCGGAGATTGAAGATACCGAACAGGGGGAAGACTCTGGACAGCATTCTAGGACCACAGCGCGGACACCCCCACAGAGGACTCCAAGGAGAGGAGGGTGGACCGTCAGTCGAAGCGGCTCAGGACGGCAAGTCAGACGTGCTCCCTTCAAGAGGCGCTCGTCTGAGGGCAGAAGTCGTGACAATGGTCGTATTGAAGACGAATAAGCGGGCGGAAGGTTCCGACGATAATGGTTTCCGACTTTGTTATACCGTGTAGCATTTCGACGTATAAGTGGCGGTGGGCA